AGAAACCATCCCCACAATCTGCTTGCTCTCACAAGTTTACAAGTTTTTCAATAAGATCCTCACAAATGGACAGTCGAAAAGTCTGAAAGAACATCTGCCAAAAAAATCGGGCAGAATTCCGTAGGAGCTACAGCACAACGGATAATATTTTTACCTTATATGAACTCCCTGATCGCGTTACGGAATACCAACTCCGTCTCTGCATCGCCTTCTTAGACTACGGGAAAGTTTTCGACCTTGTCGAGTTCAATGCAGTGTGGACTGCACTGACAGAACAGGGCACTGACGCCCGCTACATTAACCTGCTATAAGAAGCTAACTTCGGCTGTTTCACGGATGCCCCGCTGTTCAGTGGCCCTCTTTGGATTCCAGTGGGACACCATCTACCTTCCCAATATTTCTTCACTGCCGGTTTGGAAATGGTGTTCTGAAGAATGAATTGAAAACGTTGAATTAGCATCAGTTGTGAACAGCTTATTAACCTAATGTTCGCTACTGACGTAATATCGTTTGCGAAAATTGCCAGTCAGCTACAAGATATGTTACAAGACCTCAGGATAATCAGTAGAGAAATTGGTCAAAGATGAAGGTACTCTGATATGATGCTCTGCCGAATTCCAAGGTTGCATTAAACGACGAGAAAATCAAAGAAGTTGATAAACACATTTATCTGCACGAAGAGATCAACATGCATATGATGAAGCGAAGGGATTTTGTGAAGAAATTTCGCCGTTTGACACGCGCTTCATTCACCAAGTACGTGGGCAACAGAAGGAAAGATACCTCGTTCATCTATTCAATTTTACCATCCTGCAGTGATGTTCAATGACTGTGAAACGTTGTCACTTACGAAAGCAGAAGAGGGTCAGCTATCTGCCACTGACAGAACTACAGAAGGAAGAACGTTGAAGTCTTACGTTGCAATCACCTACTCTACAAGGTGATCAGTCAGCAGGCGGAGTGAACGACTTCGTCATTGAAAGCAGAGAGGAGAAGCTACGGTAGGTGAGACACGTAAACGTTAACCTTTAAGTTAATATTTGGTTCCTAATGGGAGTCATAATTTCCCGCTGCACATAGATTAGTGTCGGCTACATTTTTCTATCATATATGCATATTGCTCAGATTCATGCCATTGTCCCTATTCATCACGTTGACCTGGATGAACAGGACCTCCTTGTTCTTTCTAAATTTATGATTCTTTTCAGCAGATATTGCGCTGATGAGCTGCTAATCTACTTTATGATTCTTAACGACACTGTGTTAAACAACTACCAAGTTGTTTTCTCATTCTTCTTTGATAACCGTGGGATCTTTCATCGGCCTTCTACCTCACCATTGTTGCGTATTGCCTTTTTCTCTTAATTCAGCGTTGTTCCATTAAGTCAGGTCACGCATCTATTGCTTTTTTCATTCTTCGATGGAATCACCTGGTTCCCTGATATAGACATCACCACATTTAGAGAGTATGTAGTAGACTCATCCGCATTATTCGTTATGCGAAACCTTCGTACTAACATCTTCATCATCTTCATCTTCATCTTCCATCGCCGCTTCTCCTTTCGGGTCGCGGAGGCAGACGCGTC